CAATCCCATTTTGTTTTCCATTTTTTCCCTCCGAATTGAGGTTTTTTTTTTTCAGTTCTAACCCGTGCCAGAAACTATTTATATTTGGTAGCCGAAAAAATATATAAAATTTGTATATAACATACATAATGTATATATATATCTATACAAAAAATATACATTTTTTCGGCTACTATTTTGAAAGCTACTATACAGTGTCATTTCCGAAGGGGCAAATTTGTTTGAAAGTGTAACAGTAACATTATTTATTAAATAATTAAATGGAAGGTATATATACATTATTTCTCGAAGTAAGGGGTAAATATGATCTTTTTATCATTTTAGGTGTCTTAATTTGATAGACACGAAATTTAAGAAAAGTAAAAAAGATTTTTGAATCTTGTGATAAAAGACTTTTGAATCTTGTGATCTTAAATTAAAAATATGTATATTGTACCATGTCGAATATCTTTGAATCTTATGATCTTAAATATGCCATATAGAATGTTAGAGTTACTAAATATAAAAAAATATATTCTTTTTGAAATAAATTAAAAAAAAAAGTAAGACATATAAAGTAAAATAGAGATAGTAGAAGAAATTAATACAAAAATATTAACAATTTTGTATATCAAAGAGCTAGGAAAAAATAATATATATATATATATATAAACTTGTAAAATTCAGACTAAATTATAAGTTAACTATATTGATTGAGGACTTTATGGCAAAGTTTTTTCCTTTATTATATTAGCTAAATGGGATAAACAATTATTATTTTTATGAACATAATTCTTAATGCAATATTTATGTGATTTCTAAAAAATTTGTATCCAATGAAAACTAGTTAAAGTAAATCTTGTATGCGCTGATGACAGAGATTTAGGAGCGTAACATTAAACATGTCGCTCGTGGGGCCGTCTCTTGAATACTCCATTTAATACTCCACACAAAATTAGTTTAAGAGATCTTTTGAGACGAATTTACTAGCTCTTTTGAATGAATTTCTATGGCTTCCATGAATATTTTGTCTCTCTTGAAATCAGGCGTTAATGGTTCAACATCACTAAAGCAATGCAAACTCTTGCACCAAAAGATTGTTACTTTAGGCTTACAAAGCAGCATTATTTTTTCCAAGAATCTAATTAACCTATACATCTCTTGCCAAGATTTCCATTCTGCTAAGCTAGTTTTTCAAAACCTTGAAAACCCTCTTGATATCACTTTGTGGAATGGTCTAATGTCTGAATATACGAAGAACCATTTGTTCAATGAAGCTCTTGAGCTCTTTGAGAAGCTGTTGCACTTCCCATATCTCAAAGCTGATAGTTACACCTTTCCTAGTGTTCTCAAGGCTTGTGGTGGTTTAGAAAAAGTCCAATTTGGTCAAATGGTACATGCTCATCTGATTAAATGTGGGCTTTTATCAGATGTTGTTGTGACAAGTTCACTGATCGGTATGTACGCGAAATGCGGCTTGTTCGGTTCAGCTATACAGCTGTTTGATGAAATGCCTGAAAGAGACGTCGCGTGTTGGAATACTATGATTTCATGCTACTATCAAAGTGGGAAATTTGCCAAAGCGCTTGAGTTCTTTGAGAAAATGAAGGGTTTGGGATATACGCCTAATTCGGTTACCTACACAGCTGCAATCTCGTCATGTGCGAGGCTTTTGGATATGGAAACAGGGGAGAGAATTCATCAGCAATTAGTGAATGATAAGTTTTCATTGGATGGTTTTGTAAGTTCTGCTCTTGTAGACATGTATGGGAAATGTGGCTGTTTAGAGAAGGCTAAAGAGATCTTTGAGCAAATCCCTTTCAAGAGTTTGGTTTCCTGGAATTCCATGATATCTGGGTATAGTTTGAGAGGCGATACCAGATCATGCATTGAGCTTTTAAGAAGGATGAGCAAAGAAAACACGAGACCGTCTTCTGTGACTTTAAGCAGCTTATTAATGGCATGCTCTAAATCCGCTCAATTGCAGCACGGGAAGTTTCTTCATGCATATATAATTCGAAATAAAATAATATCTGATGTCTTTCTTAATGCTTCACTTGTTGACTTATATTTCAAATGTGGCAGAGTTGAGACTGCCCAAAATGTCTTTAGTAAGATCACAAAGAAGAGTGTGGAAGCTTGGAATGTAATGATCTCCGGATATGTGTCAGCTGGATACTATTTGGAGGCTCTTGACATCTATAATGACATGAAGTTGGCAGGGATAAAACCTGATGCAATCACTTTGACGAGTGCCTTGGTATCTTGTTCACAGTTGGCTGCCTTAGAACAGGGCAAGGAGATCCACAAGTGTATCATTGACAATAGGTTGGAATCCAATGAAACTGTTATGGGATCATTGCTTGATATGTATGCTAAATGTGGTGTCGTAAGTGAAGCTTTTCAAGTCTTTGATGAGTTGCCTGAGAGAGATCTGGTATCATGGACTACAATGATTGTGGCATATGGATCTCATGGCCAAGCTTTTGAAGCTTTAAAACTCTTCAATGAAATGCTGCATTCTAATGTAAAACCCGACAGAGTTGCATTCCTTGCAGTAATTTCTGCATGTGCTCATGCAGGATTAGTGGATGAAGGTTGTCATTATTTTAATTTAATGATCAGTGTTTGTGGCATCCAACCATCAGCTGAAGAGTACTCATGTCTTATTGACCTTCTTGGGCGTGCTGGAAGATTGCGTGAAGCCTATGCAATTCTACAGAACAACCCACACATCAGGGACGATGTTGAGTTGTTAAGCACATTATTTTCTGCATGCCATTTGCATGAGGAACGAGAGATCGGAGAAGAAATTGCAAAGGTACTTACTCAAAAGGACGTGGATGATCCATCGACTTATGTTGTTTTTGAAAAAATGTATGCTTCGCAGAACAAATGGAATGAGGTACGCAAGTTGAGACTGAAGATGAAGGAGCTAAGGTTGAGGAAAAAACCTGGATGTAGTTGGATTGAAGTAGACAAGAGGATTCAAACTTTCTTGGCAAATGATAAATCATTCCCATTAGTAGACAATGTTTATCAATGTCTATGCTTAATTTATAGTGACATGGAAAACTATGAATGCTTTAGTCTTAATAGCAAGGGAGATGAATACTACTCACACCCAGCTACTTGACCACACCAATCTCCTTGTTCATGATAGTTTTGATAGTATTGAACTTTTTCCTTGACAAAAAATACTAAATTCTTTTAATTAAATAATTAATTGTATGAATAATTAAATAAAACTTTTTAAAAATTAAAAACTCAATTCCAAACCTCCTCACTAGATTTCTCTTCCACGTTCCTCTTCTCCTTTAATCTTCTTGTCAAGAGCGACAAGCCATCTTCTCTGTAAAAGAAATCAATGTAGGTACTTTCCTATATATTGTTTTTTTCTTGTCAATCTTTTTCTTTTTTCAAACATAGATGGAAAAATCAATCTGCCGAAACACCAAACCTAGGGCAACTACGACATCTAAGTTTAGAATATGATAGCTTATGGAGCGTCTTTTATCCCCTTAAGTAGAAGCATCTAAAATATTATATACGGTCGAAATCGGGCTTGTCTATGACATGGTAGATACTAGATCGGGCTCGTCTATGACATGGTAGATCGGGCTCGGAACACAAGGGACTCAAGATCGACCCCAAGTCCCACCAGATCAGAGCCGAAGTCAAATGTCTATCTTCGAGAACATTGAGTCCGTGATCCCGGAATCGACCCTGATTCCGAACGAGCTCGAAGAAACATTGTTAGCGTAACCAACAGGAGACTGAAATATCCGTGACTGGTCGGATATTACGGCGGAAATCTCGGCACATATCAAAAAACCGGCAATCAGCAAATCTCTATATAAAGGGGGCCTAATAATTCATTTAGACACATTGTAACACGCACTCAAAAGCAATATACTGTTATTTTTCTCTTTAAGCTCTTATTCAACTGTGAAGTGTATCATGTTCAAGGGTGGCTAACCCCAGGGCTGTAACTGTTCAATTCGTGTGGTTTAAATTTACTTTATCATTGTTCAAAGGTGGCTAACCCCAGGGCTGTAACTGTTCAATTCGTGTGGTTTAAATTTACTTTATCATTGTCTATTTCAATTGCAGTTATTATCGCTTTGTGTCATTTTAATCCACGTATCTTTAAAACCACTTATAAATTCAATTGTTATCCGATTTTGAGTGTAAACAAATATCATCTAAATTTAAAATATCTTTTATAGTTAAAATGCAGCATCTAGATGTCAAAATTCATATTTTTTCTATCTTAAAGGAGAAAAAAAACTTTGTAACTCCTTTCAACTGGAACTGCGTTCCTTCACCCTAGCTATATTTGAAAATACCAATGTAACTATTAAGCTTAATTGTTATAGAATTTTTGAATAGATAAAAGAAACTTTACATTATGAATCCAACAAATAATGTTGGATTGTAGATAGATAAATGACGTGACAAAAAATTAGGCAAAACTTTAAGGAGGTTTTCGAAGAATGTTAGAATGATTGTAAGGGCAAAATGTGCAAATACAAAGACTGAGTTTTATCAAATATTTTTAATGAATAAGAATTAGCAGTGTTGTTATTGTTAGTAATATTGTTGTTATCATTGTTGTTATTATAAAAGAAATTATTGAGTAGAAGTGGGCATTATAGAACACATCAAATTTCTCGAGCCTAAGAGAAGTGTCAACGTCAAGAATTACAATACTTGAACAAAACAGAGAAGTAAACTATAGAGAAGACATGAGACTTGGAATGATCCAAATTAAAGCACTTCATTAGCATTATATTATATCAGAAACAGAGGATTATGATTGTTATAAACAAAAACTACATGATTAATCTATCTTCCTCTTCTTCACAAACAAAATAAATGTCTATAGCCCAAAATTAAGACAATGAAACGCGAAAAGTGAACAAAACCATAAAACTTGATCATAAATTTTTATCAAAATCAAAACTTACTTACTGGTAATTATCAGTCTAACTTTTACTATAAAAACAGAAATAAGAAATTACCACTTCATCGCTCCAAATTGGTACAAAACATCATGAGAAGAATTGGCCAAATCATCAGCTCTTTTCAATAAATTGTTGTTCAACACTTCCATGGAAGCCATGCATTCTTGGAGTTCTTGCAACCCTAAATTGTCCAAAGACAAATCTTCCCACCAATTATTAGTCCCACTCACACCCACACTCACAGCTTTCTCCTTGTCCAAAATTCCCATTGCTTCCAAATACTTCTTCTTACTTTCTTCTTCAATTTGAAGCCTAAGAGCGGCACTAAACCCGTCTTCATCACGCCCTCCAGTTTCGTAGCGATTGATAACAGAGTCCACACAAGGGTTTCCAAAGGAATAGACTTTACCAGCAGGAGATTCAACAATGACAGCAACTTCTGCGCCGCACAATGCGCTCAGTTCGCTCGCTTTCTTGAACACCCCCGCCCGCCGCTTCGAGAACGTCACTTGCAAACTGTTTCTGTTTGCTATTTTCTCTATTTTGATCTTTTGCCGTCCTTTGCTCTTTTTCTTGATTTCCTCATTCTCATTCTCATTCTTCTTCTCCATTCTTGTTCAATGGGATCTTCTAATTTGCGAGACTTGTTTTTCTTTACACTAAATATATAACGATTAATCATGGAAAGGAAGAAAGTAATTTTACTTCCAAGGGCGCCTCTAGGGTATAATTAAAGCCCCAAAAATAAAAAGTACTACTTATTATATAATATATATACTCCATAATTTATATTTATATAATTATTAATAAAAGCTTTCAAATTTTAATAATTTTTAAAGTTTTGTAGACGTAAGATTAAGTGAGTTAATTGAAAAAAAAATACTCACTAAATTAAATAATATATTTACCTTCTCATCAATTTTATTTTTCTTTCTTTATGTATAGTCTTTTTTTCATGGTTCTTACGGTTTTACTTTCTAATTTCAATTCCAATTCTCTAGATTAACTATTTCTTTTGGTCACATTTGATTGGTCCACACACCAAAAAGCAAGTTCGTTTGTGTCTCATCTTTTTTAACTAAGAAATCCCTGAGGCAAATGTCGCAAGGTTCAAAACATGATGAATAATGGGCTCACTGTTTACCAATTTTATTTAATGGAAGAATTCAATACCATATGACATGCACCTAACTCATATATCATGAGTTGTGCTCTTACCACTATATCAAAGTCATGTAGGTTTTTTTTGTGCCTCAATAATATATGAATTTCATAAAAGACGTTTCAGGGTCTTTTTAATATATTTTGGTTTAGGCCACCAGTTTTGTTGAGCCGCCCCTCATTGACAATCAACAATGATTTACAGAATACTGCCCCACTATAAACGTATTGTTCAACCAGCTTCATTCACATTTGGTAACTAAATGACAAACTCGCTGTGTTTAATACTCTTGTCATTGTTGCCTTATTTTAAGTGAGAGTCTATAAATTTTATTGAGAATGTCATGGGCGGATAAGTGGCTCTAGTAGGAGACTAGTAAAGCCTTGATTTAGGTCCCCAAAATTTTTAATAATGAATTTTATAACTTTATTTCAAATTAGACAATATTAATATTTGTAGGAAAAATAATAAAGTACAAAAAAAATTGTAAAAAAGAATGAAAGGTGTCTACTCTTAAATAGTAAAAATATTTTTAAAACTTTGAATTAAACTACTTAAATCTTCATATTAGTAAATATATTTTCTACAATAATATCAAAGGTAACATATTGCAAATACATGTCTAATATCTCATTTATTTAAATTTTCCTTTTCTAATATAAATAATAATATTACTATGTGAAGTTAAGACTATGTCATTTAAGAATATATGCTATAAACAACAAGTATGAAAAAATGGTAAGATTAATTTTTTTGCATATATGTGTGTATACGTACTAATAAAAAAGTATAAGGCCTCTTATTAAAGTTTGGCTTTAGGCCACCAATTTTACGGAGCCGCCCTTGGTGTGACTCCGATCCGTTTAAGAAATTAAAAATCCTATTAACCAACATATACTCCGTCTCTTAGTTTCATTCCTTTTAATTACTATCCGTTTAAGAATTTTTGAAGTAATCTTTTTTTCAAATCGCTGGAATCTCCATATTTTTATTTCATTCAAGAACTTAGTTGATTTATTAAAGAAGTTATAATTATTATTATTAGGCCAATTCTAAATGAATTATTAGAAAGCTGTATAAATTTGTAGGGGAAGCTATATAAGTTAATATTTTTTCATTAATGAAAATTAAATCATCTTGCCGTTTTCAAAAGCAAACAATTTACACTTGGTACATGCAAAAAATTCATGCTAACTTACCATGGTTTAGTGATGAATTGTGATAAGAATACATATCAATTAACCATGTAAAAATATTAAAAGTTATGTAAATAAAATATATGGCATACAATTATTGATTTAATAAATGCAACAGTGCGAGTGATTAAGTCTTTTTATTAATAAAAATTAATAAAAGAAAAAGATATTGATATAATGGTTTGATTTTATTTTTTACAATTATTAAAAATTAACTCAAACCGAACTACGAATACGAGCATAAAGAGAACTAAACTTCCATAGTTCCTCTTGTGGATTATGTGTTAAATTGCTTTTTCTTTTTAATATGTATTCCATAACTGTTCTCTCTTTAGTGTACATTCGCATATCAAATGTGCATTCACCAGTTTAGTTTTTGAGATTCGTATGCTCTGCATCTGTAAAAGAAACTCTCGTATCTTGCTTTGTCTTTGCTGACGCGAAGCTACGTCGCTTTTAGTTGATGAAGTGAATGAAATCATTAGATTCCCATTTGGAATCACTGCACTTCAAGCTAATAACATAGTAGTTTAAAACTAGTGGTAAACTGTTGTTTGAGTATTTATAGTGGAATTTGCATTATCATGGTCTCATCAACATTACTTTGGTCAAAGATGTGGTAAATTGTAGATTTAATAGTAGGGCTTGTTTAACTAAATCTATTTATACTATACTTATATTAAAAGTGGAAAGGTTTAAAGTTAAAAACTAAATTACTCATTTTCCTTTTAAAAACTTAATTACCCTAACTTAAAAAACGAAAATAAAAAAACTAACGCCTAACATCTAAGGCAGCGCTTCAAACCACCATGAAGCACTACAAGAAGAAAAAATTGCAGCACTTCATTAATGTATTCAACAATTACCTTCTATCTTAGTATATGTACCATGAAGCCGTGCGATGCTCTTAGATTTCCTCCAAATTCTCACGGCAAGAAAGAAGCACAAAAAGGGGGGGGGGGGGGGGGGGGGTAGAAGGAGAGAGAGAGACAACAGAAGAACCTGAATCTAAAGGCCTACAAAAAACTTCTTACAAGTTAGCTCTATGCATAGGATTATAGGAGTA